GGGTTTCTACTTAACCTCCACACTAGACCCTGGTCTGGTTAGGGAGCCGGTTTAGTCGCCAATCACTCAGCTGTTGAATTCAGTGTTCTCCCTCTCGTACACCGGTTGCCACCCAAGGCTATAGGACCCTGGCTGTCCTACTACTTACCCATACCTAGTCGGGGGAGAAGAGATAGATTCATAATTTTCCCAGGGGTCTTTGCTCGTAGGGGAGGGTAACGAACCCGACTCGATTTCTCTATCCGAGACGCCATCTATTAATCCAGATAGGAATAATAGCAGTGCTTATGTTGCAGAATATAACTTTCGCATTCTGATCATAAGACCCGGTTTCGAATCTCACCATGGTCAATTTGTCAAGAAGGAGACTGCCTGGTGTTATCAGACTGGATCAAGGTCGATCCCAGTGTGCGGCAACTTTCGAAAGTACCTGAAAACCATACCATGGGTTGACCCAAGCCTTGTGAGTGAAATTCGGTAGACAGAACCCTTGGATGCTGTCGATAGCTGTGCTAGCACGAAGTCACAAGTCATCGTGGCCGAGGGCTTGAGCGTGCTGGACTTGTTAAAATTGTTGATCACGCTAGATAACACGATGTTTCCCAGAATCTGTAACTAAGGTCTGCTCAGTATAGTTGCAGTATAAACCACAGTTTGGCTCTGTGGGCGTTGAATAAACACAAATGCGCCTGATCAAGCGTCTACAATAGGGATTGGTTAAACGCCCTAAGTAGACGGTTATCCTCGAATACGAGTGGCCTGCTATATTATACGTAGGCGAGACAAAAATCGCAAGGCCTGATGTGCCGGCAAGAACTTTGAAACAAATCAGGTTGGTTTGAACTTTTAGTTCGAACTTTTATGATAAGACGAGAAGGTGCACCAAAAATAACGAGGTGAAGAGTTCTTTCCGGTCATAGAGAAAGAGGAGAGAGATAAAAACTATCCACGTTCTCTCCCCGTCTCGCTTCACTCAAGGAGAGACACCTACTACTATGTCCTCCACCCTGTAATAATGTCCTTACGGCCACATTACGTTGAAACGATCACCCGTACGATCACCGAAATAAAGCCTGGTCAGTATCTAGACGGGTGACCACTTGGGAATACCAGCCGCTGTAAATTTGGATGGGCGGATGGTGTAACGGATAATGGCTCGGAGTTGTTAACCGGAGAGCCGAGTTCGAATATCACTTGGGTTCGTTATATTAACTTATGCGCAAATACTCTTAGGAAAGGTATGAATCCAACTCTTCTACCCACCAGCTATGGGTAATTTAGTAAGACTTGTATCATTAAGACATTAATATTTAAAAAACAGGACTTATTACAATCTAAAAATATTTCCTGGCTTTAAATAATTTGCAAAAGGTTGGTAATCTCTAAAAAAACAATCAATAACAAAAAACTTGTAATAAAGCAAATAAAAGAGAAACCTGAAAAAAAATGACTCGATTATTTAGTCTATGATGCAGCATCGGGGTCCCTACCGAGGAATTTCCGCTAGATCATGAAAATCCAGAATCGATACGGAACGCAATATTTATTTGTTGAGGATTACAGTGATCAATTTTTTTCCCACTTACTGTAATGTGGTATACCTAAATACCTCACTACGGTCGGTTTATTAAATTAATGATGTTAGCATTATTAACAATACATTGGAAAATCAACAAACCTCTCTTTCACTCTACATTGTGTTTCTTCATAGGCGATCATGCCTCCCCATAGCCCCCTTTTATTTATTGCACTTAGCAACACATTGTCCTTAATGGTCCCCCCCTTTTTCTTAATAGGCTTTATCCTTGGTTATTTCCGGTTTAGTAGAAAAAAAAATAACTCCTTTTTTTTCCTTTTTCCAATTTGGCTTGATTTAAAACTTCCTTCAGATTTTAAGATGCCCACGGGTTTTATAACTTCATGTCATCACAGGTTGCGTTTCTACTGTCTATGTAACCAATTAGATTTCCTCAACTAATTAACTTCACCTGGCTTAATGATAATTAATTTCACAGCATCCAATTCTACATTCTTCTACCTGTTATTAAACAACAGCCTATTTCCATATTTTTTCAAAGAGTTAACTAGCCATGAATCGGATAGGAAAATTTAATGTTTAGCTCTGACGGTACACAATCTTTTCCACAGAAGTTTTTCTTCAGCTGTATCGAATATAATCTTGATAATTGTTTCAGCGCCGTTGCGTTCCTCCAACACCCTATTTAGAGAAATTAATCTTCGAGAAAATTCATTTCACCTTAGGCTGACATATTTCCCTGAGATTCTCTTGTATTAAATGGCATCTAAACACCTGGCTATTTTCTTCTCAGCAGATTTTCTCATGTAAGATGAACTCAAGTTCAAATCTCATTTTCTCCGGGCATTTTATTTCATAATGTCGAATCTGGCTTTAAGTAGACAAAATAGGACCCCGACATCATATTGCATTCTAGTAAAATCCACCTTCGTAATCGTGGCTTTTCAAATCAACTTATCTTTTTTTCGACCTGCTACCAGGTATAAAATCATTTACTTGTGAAATATATCCCAGTAACTCTGTTATTTTCTTTAACCACTTGCAATAGACTCTTATTATTGCAAATTACAGCCACAGCAGATCTAATTCCAATTGGCCACCAGCTATAGAATCACTTCTAAAATCCAACTGAGTAACCCTGTTGCAGATTAAAGAAAGTATTTCTGTGAATTACTTTACATGAGTAATCTCTTTTATAAAACCATCCTCGCTGCATTAAAAAGAGATAAATTCCTATCTCCGTAGATTTTTAAAATGTGTGTATACCAATTTAAATTCGATATCTGTTGAACTTTCACAGTTAAATGTTTTAATCAGTGAAATTGTGTTATAGACACAATCATCTCTATTTTGTATTCAAGAGAAGAAACCATATTTCTCTCATAGTCTTGTGCAAATTTTATTTCTAACAGGATTTTTTTTAATGAAAACTGGATTTATTTCATATGCAATTTAAAATATTTCTACAAAAATCAGGCACACAAAAATCGATGAGAATCTCTCTCTCTCTCTCTCTTTCTGCACTGTGTCTGTTTACGATATGAGGGATCATGTATCTCCACAGCTTCCTAACTCCCAACAACACGTTCTCCTCTTCCTACATTGTTCTTGTTCATCCCTTTAAATAAAAATGTAAAGTATGCTAATTTCTACAACTCTTGCCTTCAATGCGTCCTTTGAGTATCAAATTTTCTAAGCATTCTGTCCTCATCACATGTACAAAACAGTGCAGCTGTATCTGATTATTTCTCCTTAGGACTTCCTCATTCGTCTCATACTCTGCCCATGGTATTCTTAACATTCACCAGTACAACCACAACTAGGTTGTCTCCAGCCATTATCCTTTGTGAAGTAATTGCTAACCTTCTACTTACATATAGGAGGCTAGAAATTATAGTAGTTCAGTTTCTTCCTTTTCGATGTTATTTTTCAATCCCTGAGTACATTACTTAATACGTGCTTAATTTTGACGTTCCCGATATGTAATTCACATCTTGGCCTCTCCCTTTTGCTTAACACTATAATTTAATATTAGAATATAATATATCTAGGATCAGGCCAATATAAAAAGAGCCTTTTTTTCCAGAAGACGCACTATTTTCTTTGCTCTTCAAAATATTGTTAAATTTCATCTTGCAAACTGTGAAGAATATGATTTTATTATGGGAGAACCTCAATAACACGGTTCATCTAAAATTATACGGTGAAATGAAAGATTAAGGGCAAACAGGTTCACCTATCGTCCGGTTCACACTTCTCCCTGGTATTTTGAACAGAAATAGAGATGTATATCTTGTTCCCTGCTTAGGATATGTGGATTTCATTTTCACCGGCGGTAGCCATTAAAACACCGAAAAAAAGACGTCAAGTTGATACGATCATGAAAGAGTTCTCGTCCTGGGTATGAGTCACTCGCTCAACTTTCTGAGCGAGTGTTCGGTTCAACTCTCTGTCTACGGACGCCGAAGGGTGGAGTCTCCTTCGGGGAGGTAAAACCGGCCCTGAACCCGTTTGTACGGGTTCAAATGGGCTATTTTTTGGCCGAGCCTAATGGCTCGGAAATGCCCAAGTTAAAAAGGCCTTGTGCCACATGACGCCCTCGTGGGGGGACGACTAAATATAGTCCTGGGTATGACAATAAACTACATCCGCGTCCAGGGTAAGACGATAAACTACGTCCAACTGTAAGGCCTCTGATCAGGAGGTTTTGTGGAGCGTGGAACCTCGTCCTAATTGCTGATGTTTCCAGGTCCCATCTATGAGCAAATAGTTAACCCCAAAACTGAGGAAAAAAGCATTATGAAAGTGTAAAATAGGTTTTAATACCAGAAATGCTTTGTAAAAAAATATTACCGGTAATAAATTTCTGAAGAAAAAAAATATTGCCAGCAATACGTTTTTAAAAAAAATATCACCAGCTATAAAATTTCGACGAAAAAATCTTACCAGAAATAGATTTTTGACAAAACAAAAATATTACCAGGAAAAAAGTTGTCGGCATTAAATGACCCAATGAGGTTGATATGCCGTAAAACAAAAACCAAACGAAACCATGAAAGATCTCCTTTAATTTCATTGTTTCTATCGCTTTCTGTATTTGACAGTTTCTCTTTGTACGTTTTTATTGACCTTTCTAAAAAGGGTCATGATGGCCAAAAGATGTTATATTGCTCACAGTTATCGACCAAAGCCATCCTATGCTTATATTTATTCCACACTTTATTGTTAATGTAATTCATTTGGAGTTGAATAAGATAAAACAGTAGAGGCAAATCAATTTACAACTCAAGCCAGATAGTTTTTGTTCCCTTCCTTCAAATGCCATTTAGAACAGTATGGATCTATTCTGTCCACCCTCAGTTATGAGGGAAATAGCAAAGTAAACTAGGCTGTTAAGCTTTGATCGGCAACCTCTGATTTTTTTTTTCTCAGTAGGTTTTAGATAGGTTCACGCACCTCCGGTTTACGACCACATCATTTTGAAATACCGGCTCCCGTACGATCATCGAAGTTAAGCAACGTCGAGCCTGGTCAGTTCCTAGATGGGCGACCGCTTCAGAGTAGCAGTTGCTATAAGCTTTGATGTGCGGGCGATACAATGGATAATTGTTCTCAATTGTAAATCAGAGAGCAGAGTTCCAATTCCAGTTGGGTTCGTTATATTCACTTGCTCACAAATACCCTTAAGAAAGGTATGAATCCAACACATCTCCCCCAGCTGCGGGTTAATTAGTAAGAATTTATCACTAAAATCATTATTATCTAAAAAAAAAACAAAAAAAAACATTGCGTACAAAATATTTAGATTTCGGCATTAAATAACCCATAGAGATGTTGATGTGTCATTGAAATAAAAACAACAAAAACAACACCCCTCCCGATCTTTTGAACAGGGTTATGATTGGGTTTCTAGTTCTTTCTTAAATCTTCTCATTCTCTTTCCATCCTACTAGCCCCTTGCGTCTTAGTGGCATTATCGCCTTGCTCGAGGGGAATTGATTTTTAAAATTGGAAATTAAATGATATAATTTATCTCAGAAATGGTCAGCTCATTAGAAGATTGAATGAAAACAACACTGTCTTAAAATAATGTTATATAAGTCTATAAAGAGAAAAAGTTTAGAAAAAGTAAAAAAAAAATGATAACCTTATTATTAGCGCGAGAATGATTTTGGAGATGAGACCGAACAAAAGTGATCTTATCAAAGTCTAAAATGATATTCTTAAATTAGGTAAAAGAGAAGTGGAAAATGTTTTAAAACGAGCAAATTAGTGATTATTCATAAAATCCTCCATGATGGCGTTGATGATTGGACAGAAGACGACGGATCTGCTGTGAAGAATTTGGCCGATTCGCCTATCAAAAGAAATCTACAGCTCGAACCCGCTATGTCATTTACACAGGGTTGAATCCCCCACATTCCCTTCATTTGATATTGATAACTAGGTGTCACTCAAAGAGCTTCTTTCTGATAAGCGCGACATTGTGGGCTAGACACCGGAAGGGATGCTGCCCTGATCATTACAATATCGACCCTTTCAAGTCTTGGGTTAACTGTCATTTATCCTACATATCCTCATCATCTGTACTCCCTCCTCTTACGACAATACACCAACATCATTAAATAACTCTCTACCTTGAGTGTGATTAGTACAGAACTTACAGAACCTTCTAGAAATTTCAACAGCAATATGATAAGACTTATCTTCCAATCTAGTACTGCACTTAAATTCATAGAGTCGAAGTTGGAAATATAAAAGAGACACAGGGGTATACGTGCAGAATTTTGGATCTCAAAATATCTACATTTGGTGGGCCGAATAGGTGAAGCCTAAATATGAAGGAACACTGGAATAGTGAAAGATGCCTTCCAAAACTAAGTATTAAGAAACAAGAAAAATATCTTAGAAACAAAGAAAAATGCTGAACTGCTATGTAATATCAGTCCTCCTATGTGGCAGTGAATGCTGGACAACCTCCTCACTATTGAAATATGCCTTCCAAAATATGAGCAAAGAATTAAGAAACTGGGAAATTTCGTTAGAATCTTTTGTGACCAAGGTAAATAGTTAAAGAAATAGGAAAACACGTGTTGCAGATATATAATATATTAAACAGTAAGTACAATAGAAGAGTATTACACGACTAGTGAGTATGTGTCGGTTGACCCAGCGTTCAATATATTCGACTGTTATATTTAACAGCTCCCCCCCCACGAGGGATGTCTGTGAGAAAAGGATGAGTTTACTGTGGGTTCTCCAAGCCCGTAGTCTCGGACAAAACTATTCCCTTAGAACCCGCATAAACGGGTTCAGGGACTGTCTACTTCCCCGGACGAAACTTTGCCCTTCGGCAAAGTCTCGTTCGGGTTCCTCTCTGCTCAAGGCAGAGAGTTCGGCAGTTGAACAATCTTCTTCGACTGCTTTCCCCCATGCCTACTCTCCTACTGATCTTATAGTAGTCGGAAGAGTCTAACATAAACTCATTAGAGGGAGGACACCACAACAGAAACAAAGAAGAATGCTGAACTGTTATGTAATAGCTGGTCCTCTATATGCCAGGGAATGCTGGACAATCCCCTCACAGATGAAGACACAGAAATGTGGTTCTACAGAAGGATACTGAGAATACCATGGACTGAACCAGTAAATAACGAGGAGGTTTTACGATAATTGGAACGAAAAAGGACACTTCTACTTAGACTCAGAAGGAGCGTTGAAATTGCTATAACGCATATTAAGGAAGCGAGGATAAACGAAAGGGAAAGACAGAGAGCAAACTACTTAAAGAACTTGAGGAAATGGATGGCAGAATGAAATGAGAAACCCTATTAAGAGCTATATAGGATAGGAAGTAGCGGAGACCCGTGATCTTTCACATACTGAAGGTCCATGGGCACAGAAAATGAAGACGGGCTTCTTCCTCCAATGTTTTTAACATGTCCTCATAGATTTCCTTTGTAATTTTCTTCTACAGGGACATGAATTTTATGACGTTTCGAGAGAAGAAATTCCACCCTTTCGCTTCAGTGAATGCCTTACCTTCCTACCTTATTCCGCCACCCGTCACACAGTAAAAAGCCACAATTCTCCTCCACATACTTCGATCTTGGGCTAGTTGTGGAGCCTGCAACGAGTTGGCATGTTTTTTGTGTCGTGCGCAACGTTATTTTAGGACATTCCCTTGCTCTTTTTCAGCTTTTAAGTATCCAGATTAGAGCTTCTTTGGCTAGAGGCAGTCGCAAGATATTACCGGTGAACTGTATCCGTATATCTACATGCATTCCACTAAGATTTAGAGAATTTACACGTCTTAATCATTCCTCGTTCCTGATTCTCGAGGCATCGCACAGCAAAACACCACAATTAGCCATCACTTAAATCGATCTTGGACAAGTCGTGGAGCCTGGGACTAGTTGATGTTTCTTTTTCTCAGTTCTAGATTTAACTGTAGCCTGCAATGTCATTTTAAGACAACCTCTTGTCTTTTGTTGTTTTGAGATAACAAGTTTCGGGAAATTTTCCACCATTAGACGAAGATTTCTTGACTTTGTACGTTTGGTATTTCCTCGTTTCTGATTTTGTCTCTACAACTCACCTTTAGGACTTTTCGATGAATGATTGGGATCAAAGTCAAAATTAAGCACCAGGAACCTACCAATTACCAAATCACACACCCGTTTCAGTGAAAATATAATGTTTAGGTATTGGGTAGTGGGTTTGATAGGAGATATATTCAGCATAATCTTGTAATACTACTACTACTACTACTACTAATACTAATAATAATAATCAGAAGAAGAAGAAGAAGAAGAAGAAAAAGAAAAAGAATAGTTGCTCAGATAAAAGCATAAGTAGTAGTTCTATAAAGCTTAAGATAGATAAGAGACAAGAAAACAGAAATCTTGCTAAACTAAACTGTGAACCGCATGATCAGTAAATATATTATATTGTCCTACAAAGAATAGCAAAATAGACACGACTGGGTAGGAGAAGGTGATCCACTAGGAACTGTGCAATCGACTGAGTTTTTCATACGTCCAATGAAATATATGCAAAGGCCAGAATCTTTCCTAGAGAGAGAAATATATAAAACTCAACTGGTCTTCTCAGATACAAATTAATCGCCCAGTTGATGCCAGAAAATTGGATCTAGTGGGTGAAAACACAAAGAAGAAAACGTGCCAAATAGTGCTTGTCTCTGATCAAACAGACTGCGGAGGAAATATGAAAGGAAATGAAAAGTATCTTGATCTTGACGGAGAATTGGGGGTAAACATGAAGCTGACAGTCGTGCCAGTTGTTATTGGAAAACTTAAAACGGTTCCGAAAAGCCTAACAAAAAGACAGAAGGAAATGAAAATTAGAGGACAAAACTGACATTATTTAAAACAGATTGAACACTAAGAAAAGTGGTTACAGGTTATTTAAAGCCAAGAAAATTCTTTATATATATATATATATATATATATATATATATATAATAATTACCTATTTTATAGATAATAATGATTTATTAAACAAGTCTTACTAAATAACCCATATCTGGGGGAGAAGAGGTGGATTCATACCTTTCCTAGCGCGTAAGTGAATATAACCAACCCAACTGGATTTGGAACTCTACTCTGCAATTAACAATTCCGAGCCATTGTACATCACACCACCAGACGATCCAAGCTTACAGCAACTGGTATTACCATGTGGTCACCTATCTGGGTGCTCACCAGGCTCGACGTTGCTTAACTTCGGTGATCGTATGGGAATCGGTGTTTCAACGTGATTCGGCCGTAATGCGAGTATTGAGGCAACTTGATGCCATCTCTAGTTTATGCCATTATTACTGATGCAATAAATACTCAGCGAGCAAATACTACTAATACAAATAATAATAATAATAATAATAATAATAATAATAATAATAATAATGATATAAAAGTTTACAGAATTAGAAAAAGAATACAAAGAAAAGATTTTTAGTGTAATTACCATAATCACAAAAACAGCACCAAAAGACAACTATAACAAAGCCGTCTTCATTTCTACTACTACTATTATTATTAATAAGAATTTAGTCAATTACTTCAATTTTTCTTTGACCTCAGCGTCATTAAATAAATTCAATCAAATTAATTTTAAAAAGAAATTGTCATTTTTTTCCAGAGAGGGTAATTTTCGTAAAACAAAAGAAGCTCGCTACTTCCTGTCAACGCAGAACCGGCTTTCGATATCGTCTGCTGCATTATGAAGGCGTCAATTTTGATTGGTGGGGAAAACGTTTGAACGAACGCGACGATGGGTTGCATATTTTATTTCGTCAGCCTCTCATATTGGAGCCGTAACGAATTTCTTTGTTAAAATGGGGCATTTGGAAAATCGTATTAAATCCGAGGTTTTCACGGCCTCGCCTAGAAAAAAAAAAAACTAAAAATTAATGTATTTCATTTTTCTTGCATTGAATGAAGAAAGAAAAGAAAATTCACTTTCAGAAAAATTATTTTATTTTATAGCACTTTTTTTGCGTGTACTGGGTCGAAAAAGTGTCTTACACACATATACACGCAGAAAGGGAGAGAGCGTGATGTAGAGAGAGAGAGAGAGAGAGCGGGTGTAATATGAATGAGGGAGTGCATGTGGGGGGGAAAATATAAAGAGAAAGAAGGAAACAGATACATAGAGAGAGGGGGAGACAGATAGGAAATAATAAAAGAAGTAGAAAGAAAGAAAAAGAGGAAGAAAGCATAGATAGATAGATAGATAGATAGATAGATAGATAGATAGATAGATAGATATGAAAATAAAGAAAGAGAGGACAAAGGGGAAAGAGAAAAGTGGAAAACTTGGTTAGAAAGAAAGAGAGAAAGAAAGAAAAAAGGACATACGTGAAAAAGAAAGAAAGAAAGAAAGAAAGAAAGAAAGAAAGAAACGTGAAATAGAAAAAAAAGCTTGGTTAGAAAGAGAAAAGGAGAAAGAGAAAGAATCAAAGAACATACATGAAAGAAAGAAAGAAAGAAAGAAAGAAAGAAAGAAACACGAAATAGAAGAGAAAATATGGTCAGAAAGAAAGAAAGAAAGAAAGAAAGAAAGAAAGAAAAAACACGAAATAGAAAAGAGAAAATAGAAAGAAAAGAGAAAATATGGTCAGAAAGAAAGAAAGAAAGAAAGAAAGAAAGAAACACGAAATAGAAAAAGAGAAAATATGGTCAGAAAGAAAGAAAGAAAGAAAGAAAAAGAAACACGAAATAGAAAAAGAGAAAATATGGTCAGAAAGAAAGAAAGAAAGAAAGAAAAAAGAAAGAAAAAAGAAAGAAAGAAACACGAAATAGAAAAAGAGAAAATATGGTCAGAAAGAAAGAAAGAAAGAAAAGAAACACGAAATAGAAAAAGAAAATATGGTCAGAAAGAAAGAAAGAAAGAAAGAAACACGAAATAGAAAAGAGAAAATAAGAAAGAAAAAGAAAGAAAAGAAAGAAAGAAAGAAACACGAAATAGAAAAGAGAAAATATGGTCAGAAAAGAAAGAAAGAAAGAAAAAGAAAAGAAAACACGAAATAGAAAAGAGAAAATATGGTCAAAAGAAAGAAAGAAAGAAAGAAAAAACGAAATAGAAAAGAAAAAATGGTCAGAAAAAAAAAGAGAAAATATGGTCAGAAAGAAAGAAAGAAAGAAAGAAACACGAAATAGAAAAGAGAAAATATGGTCAGAAAGAAAGAAAGAAAGAAAGAAACACGAAATAGAAAAGAGAAAATATGGTCAGAAAGAAAGAAAGAAAGAAAGAAACACGAAATAGAAAAGAGAAAATATGGTCAGAAAGAAAGAAAGAAAGAAAGAAAGAAAGAAACACGAAATAGAAAAGAGAAAATATGGTCAGAAAGAAAGAAAGAAAGAAAGAAAGAAAGAAAGAAAGAAAGAAGAGACAAACGTGAAAGTGAAAAAAGAAAACTTTGTTAAAAGACGAGAGTGAAGACATAAAAATAAAAATGAAATTATTTTTCGCGTCTCCCACGCCCAACTTCCATTGGATTCCACTTTTCTTACTTAATAAATTGTAATGGCTTTCTTTTTCCTTCTCCACCCTCGTCTGAAACCAAGAAAACTTGTTAGAAATACACAACGCCTCTTCTAAAGAAATGGTCCCCAGTCGCTCCATTCTACCGTCAGCTTTGTTGACAGGACTTGAAAATCATGCTGCAAACATTTCCATTTCACGTTATTCTATCAAAATAATTGAAAAGAAAAAAGAACATATACAACATTCGTGTTCACATTTTTATATAAAATATGGTTGCCATTTTGAAAGAGAAAGAAAAGATGGCGATACATTTTGGAGAATTCTGGGTAAAAATCCTGCACTCAGCTAAATACATGATTAGTGGTTTTGAAATATTATTATTAATGAAGTCGAAGTGTGGAGGGAGTGGAATAAAGTAACGCGACTCGCTATGATTGGAAATTGCTTTTATGAATAATATTCCTATTTTCAATGTTGATATAGCATTAGTTAAAAGCAAGATTACGAGATCTTCTTTATTTGGCAGCCATTTTGTTTTCTTTCTTTCTCTTTCTGTCTTTTGTGTTGATGGAGATAAACATGATTTGGTTTATGTTAATGAAACGCTAAACGAAACTCATACCGTCATATTTGAAGAGGGGGGAACATAGAAAAGAAAGACTTATTATTTGTACAAAAATGATTCACAAGATAGAGATAACACAATATGAATCTCATCATAACTTGGTTGCGCTATGGTAAGAATATTTCATAAAACCACACAGGGTTATGGTTCGATGTCTGACCAGTTATGCCAAGATTTTCGAAGTTAATCAACTTATTCAATGTAATTCATTGAATATTTAAGATTCAAAGCTTGCACGTGTATTGCGCAGCAGATCTCTCACTTTTCATCGTCCCGTTCTTTTAGGACTCAACCTTTGTTTTAGTAAAGGAGAAGGACTTGCGCAGAATCCCCACGCACATTCCTCCCTTATTGTTGTGACCCCGTGAAGAGTCGACGGACAAGTCCGACTATTAATTTCTAGAGTTGGGTCGCTGAAGGTAACATCATTCAGCTAAGTGACAAACTTTTACTCACATTAATCCTACATATATATATATATATATATATATATATATATATATATATATATATATATATATATATAATATATTTAAAAGAAAAAATAGACCACTTTAAGGTACCATTATAATAATTTATTTCACCAGAATATATATATATATATATTTAAATTGTGTGTATTTAGACAGCATTCATACATGTTTCATTAAATGATATATACAAGTGTTGTCTATTTATTTTATGTAAATTCTTTTCATATCGTCTGATAAGGTTAATAACATTATCATTAAACGAAGAAAGAAAATCACAATATTGATACATATTTTTTAATCCAATCTAAGCTTTCGGCTTACATAAGCCATTATCAAAGATGACAATTACTGTACAATATATTAAGCAATACACGGACAAGAATGTGATGATAGTCTGTTTCTGTTTACATGGATGATTTCAAAGACAACGATAAACACGCGCATATAAGACGCTAGAAGCGAAAATCGCACCGCAGCTCATGACGTCACACATGACCACGTGCGAGTGAATTCGAGAAGTATTAAGTATGGGAAGCAGTTGGTATAAACCAATGGCATATGTTACCAATTATTACCAATTCTTACATGTTTTGTGTTGTAATATATATATATATAATATATATATATATATATGTAACAGTTATCTGTTTTGGATAAGACTTGTTTTTTATGTCCATTGTCTTTGTCAAATTGAACTGAATTGTATTTTAATGAATATTGTCTTGAAGAAGGTTTATTAAACCGAAACGTCAGACTTCGACATTTCATTCATTTTAAACAACATAATTGCATTTAAGGATTTTTGGTTTGTTTTTTCCAAATTTTTCTTCATTCTGTCGGATCTATATCCATTTACATTTGCTTATTATATATATATATATATATATATATATATATATATATATATATATATATATTAGAGGGGAGGCTTATATTTTATATCATAAAGAAACATTAATGTGATAGTAAGTTAATGTTTCATTGAGTCATGTTAGCGAAGTGATTTCACCATTAATCACATTAACATTGCTATTTAAGTCTTTGTGTAAATTGTTCCTTTATTATATAAAATATAAACTGCACACTCTCATACATTTACGATATCAGATCCACAGCACAATAATAATCAGACATTTTTACTCTACTACTTTTATTATGCTAACTCTGTTTCACTTTAACATATAAATACACATAACAAGAAAATTTAGCGGATTAATAACTTTTCAAAATACAAACAAAATCCTCACTTGATCAATTTCAACAAGAACACTAACGTCGAGTCACCGCACGCTCCAAAACGTATATTCATGCCAATAAATGTCATAATTGAAAAAAACATATTTCGGTCTATAGATATTTCATCTTAATGTTTACCTATGTATGGAAAAATTGTGCCCTGAAGATGGCAATTTGAAATTGTTGAATAATACTTGGCATGTGTCTATCATTTGGCAACAACACGAATATAAGGATATTATTATTCAGGTAATTGATAGTAAGTTAATGTCTCATTAAGTCATGTTAGCGAAGTGATTTCGCCATTTATCACATTGACATTAACATTGCTATTTAATTCTTTGTATAGATTGTTTATTTATGACTATATATATGTACATATATATATATATATATATATATATATATATATATATATATATATATATATATATTCGACTTTCCTATTGAATTCAACGTATGGGGTTCAAGCATACGAGTTCCTTGGAAACGACATAAGATTTGATTATAGTGGTGAAGGTTTTGTGCAGAACCATCCACATTTTTTGAAGGGCCGAATATAGAGATCTGGTGCACTTCAAGCAAGGTCCCCAAACAACACTCTTCAGGTTTTTTGAATTCAGAGTTTTCCTTCTCCTAGACTAGTTACCATCCAAGGCTATAGAACCCAGTTTGAGCTGCTATTTACCCATAGCTGGGGGAGAAGAAGAGAATTCACACCTTTCCCAAGGGTATTAGCACGTAAATTCGAACCGGCTCTCCGATTCCTCAATCCAAGTCGCTATCCATTACTCCACCGTGCCTTCTCAATATATATATATATATATATATATATATATATATATTACATGAAAATGGCGAAAAACTTCTTGGCAATGAATTATTTCGATTCGCATTTAATCTTTCGTGTTCGTTACTACCTGGATTTACTAAAACCAAAATAATTGCCATGCATGAGGATGGCTGTATGTACAGCTGAAAGTACTTGCAGATTAAAAAAAAGACCTTATACAACTTGTAGTTATTAAAAACAAGGATCATACACATTCATCGAGTGATTTATAGGTTAATGCAACTATTAAAAATTTGGTTTACGAAGAAGTTTTTCGCTATATTATATCATTAACTCTACTAATCTACATTTTGTATGAATGATTCATTGTAATATAAATTGAACTACACCACATATTTGATTTAAAAGAACTGATCCCAGGTGTAAATTTTCGGGATAACAGCTGCGACATTACTCTATTTATTGAACAATTTCATGCCACATTGACTGATAAACTCTTACAACAACAAAAAAATTCTCAAATTACCATATTAGTAATAAAACGCACTCTCTTAAATTTTCAAAAAAATTCAACCTTAGCGTTGCGACTGCATGCTCCAAAAGTTTTTATCCGTTAACAATAAGACATTTGTAAAAAAAAATTCGATTCGCATTTAATTTTTCGTTTCCGCTACTACCTGGATTTACTAAAAACAAAATAATTCCCATCTAATCTACTTTTTGTATGAATGATTCATGTAATATAAATTGAACTGCACTACATATTTGATATATATATGTGTGTGTGTGTGTGTATGTATGTAATTACTACGAATTGGATCGTGTGAAAATCTTGAGAGTTACGGATTTTGACCGTAGGGCGCACACGTAATGGATGAGAGCAAGGGGAAATATTTTGGTGGTGTCGCAATTTGTAATCTCTTTCTGTCGCGGTAGAGTATGGAATGAAAAAAAAATGGTTTGTAATCACTGAGTTCGATATTAGTCAAGGTTAGCTGCTCAGATTTTCTCTCACCTATTTTCTCGTAATCTTTAATAGCCAATTCATTTTAGTAAGGAAACTTTTGCATCATTCCCCTCACTCTCCCTTCATGTCTTGAGGAATTAAGCGCTTACGAGGGGCGATAAAATATCATTCACAGAATCCCTATTTTGATGAATACCTAAATGAAACTTTAATATACCAAGTCGTATTTTATGATAGTCACAAGGATTTAAAGAGATTTTCCCTCTATCGCAACCTTGCTTGCAATAATAAATAGGCTTGTTTAACATCCTTTTTACAAAAGATTCTATATTTAAATGGGGTCGCTTAAAAACCTGCCATCCTGAGGATAACGATAAACTACATCCGGCATCAAGGCCTCTGGTGGGGAGGTTTTGAGGAGCGTGGAATCACCCCTTAATTGCTGTTCTTCCCAGCGTGCTCGCACCTGTTAGGGTTCCACCTAAACCCCAAGCTGGAGTCAAGACACTATGAAAGTATAAATATTTTTATAATAGAAAATACCATCAATAGTAAAAAATATTACCAGCAATATTGGGTGTAATAACAAAATTGTCCAATTGTTAGATTCAGTTTTGAACGCTTGTAACTTAGAAATAATTAAAGATATCTTACTGGAATCTATTTGGAATAGTAAGAATGTATTTTGCTCTAAGCTGAAATGAGGATCCCTCTTGCTGTTGTGATCTCCTGATCCAGTTTTCCCTTGTAATTTTCTCTTTTCTAAACTTATTAACCGTTCTCTTGATGGTTCTTGAATGGGCTTTGAAGATGGAAGCCAGAATATGAATGTTCGTACCATTACTGAAGGCCTGGATGATCTTT